TGATGTTGCTGCCAATGGTACCGAGGTGGTGGGTGGGTGGTGGTGCGTGGCAGGGGGTGCAATGGCAGCAGCGTGAGCTGCCGCACTGCATGCCGCCTGCGCGCGCAATTGCTGCTGCGCCTCCATCTGCTGCTGCAACTGCACCTGCTGCAGGTGCTGCAGGTGAGTTAGTTGCTGGGCGGCGTGCAGGTGGTGGGCGTGGTGGGCGGCATGCAGGTGGTGCAGGCGCGCCAGCTTCCTCTGCTCCAGCGCCAGCTGCACCTGAGCTGCCTTCATCTGAGCCGCCTTCATCTGCTGCCGCCGCCGCAGCTTCTCTATCTTCTCCGCTGGCGTCATTGCGCACGCCCCACCTGCCCCTCCTGCTGCTGCTGCTGCTGCTGCTGCTGCTGCTGCTGCTGGGCCTGCACTGGCGGCAGCAGCAGCGGTGGCAGCAGTGAGGGCCGATGCTGCTAGAGCCGGCGTTGCAGCAGCAGGCGGTGCGGCAGGGGACGGAGGTTGCAGGGCGCGGGGTGAGAGGCGGGTGGAGGCAACAGAGGGGGAGGGGCAGGTGGAGAGAGGGGCAGTGGAGGTGGAAGCATGGGTGCTAGAAGGAAGGGAGGAGGCGCGAGGCAGGTGGGAAGGCGGTGGAAGGAGCGAGGCAGGCACAGAAGCAGGCCACTTGGGTGGGGGCGGGGGAGGGGGGCGGACCAACACTGCAGCCTGGCGGGCTGCAAGGCTGGCAGGAAGCAAATGCGTTGCACCGCCCATCATGCTGCCTGCCATGCTGCCCGCCATGATGCCGCCAATGGCGCTCATGCGATTGCCGCTGCTCGTGCCGGCACTGCCGAGCAGTGCTGTCTCCACCTCGTGCATCCTCGCTTGCTCGTGCTGCTCCACCCACTGCTTCTGCACCACACTCTCATGCTGCCGCGCCTGCTGCTCCTCGCTCACCCCCTGCTGCACCTGCTGCTGATGGTACAGCAGCATCTGCCGCCCCAGCACCCGCTGATCTTGCTGCTGCTGCTGCTGCTGCTGCTGCCCCATGGCGAGGGGGTGCTGCCCCGCCCCCAGGCCGCGCGCCAGCAGGGCAGCAGGGGGCGCGTGGGGGCGGAGCAGGGCGAAGGCGGCAGGCGAGGCGGGCAGTGGCGGTGAGAGGAACGCAGCGGGCACGTGGGGGGGCCGCATGCACGCGGCAGGCAGGGTGGGCGCGGGCGAGGGCGTGGGCGCGGGGAAGAAGGGCAGCGCGGGGAGTGAGGAGGGCGTGGGGACAGAGCGCGGGAGAGGGGCAGGGTGGAGTGAGGAGACGGAGGGGGAAGGGGGGTGCGCGGAGGGGGAGGCGATGAGGGAGTGGCGCAGCAGAGGGGGGGGCGCGGAGGCCACGGTGGGCGAGGAGGACGCCAGGGTGGCACAGTGCGAGTGCGAGTGGGAGTGGGTGTGCAGGTGCGGGTGGGTGGTGGCGGGGCGGGCGGCGGGCGCAGCAGCAGCAGCGGAGTGGGCGGTCTTCCTTGCTGCGGGCGCGCGCTGCTCCCTCTCGTTGCGCCGCCGCGCCAACACTCGCCGCCGCGCCAAGTGCTGCACAGCAGGCAGCAGGCGGGAGGGGCAATGGGGGTGGGGGGTGGTATGAGTGTGTGTCAAGGCAGCACGAGAGTGGTTCAGAGAAGGGAGTGCTGCGAGTGAGTGGGGCGTTGGAATGCATGGGCGAGCATGGAGTGTGCGGACTGATGGTGTGCGGTGAGTGCACTGAAGCAAACGAGTCACCCTGTGCACAGAAACTTGTTGAGCAAAACGCATCACTCCCACTCACCGCATCGCTCACACCACTCCGTATGCCTCCACCCATCGCTGCCACTGCCTCTGCTGCTCCTCCTGCTCGTTCGTCCTTCCCCTTCCCCTCTGCCTGCCCCTCATCCTCGTCCCCCTCGCGCCTGTCGCTTGCGCGCCCCTCGTGTGCGCCCGCGCTCTCCCTCGCCCAATCCGCCCCACCCTGCTCCGCGCCTCGCTCCTCCCCCCTCACTCCCTCGCTCGCCCCCACGTGTGCATCTCCGCTGTCCCCCCCTCCGCCCCCCTTCTCCCCCGTGCTGCTGTTTCTGAAGCCACCCTCTCCCTCCGCCATCACCCCTCCTGCGCCCTCCCCACCCCTCTCCGCCATCCCCTCCGCATTCCCCTCCGCCCGCTCCTCCATGCTCCCCCCACAGGCGGAAGGGAGCGCCGATGCCCTGAGATGGGGGAGACGGGAACGGCGGGAGGCGGAAAGGGAAGGGAGAAAGGGAGACGAAGGAATCAAAACGTTTAAGCGAAGAGCAGATGACGTGGGGGTGAACCGGGGAGGGGGGGAACAGGAGAAGAAGCAACGGGAGTTGTTTGGGAGGAAGGGTGGGGAGTGAATAAGAGGGGGGCGGGGCACTAACGGGAGTGGGCGGACGGCGAGCCCGCTGTGTTCCGCCGCTGACTCCCCGCCACTCCACCCCACTGCGCCGCCCGCCTCCACTGCCGCAGCCCCCTCCGCCTCGCCGCCCCGTCC